AGGAAGGAGTGCTCCCTTCCTGGAAGGCTCTGGGGGAAGAGCTGTGTGGCAGACAGTGGCCTTGTTAATCCACATTTAATTCAAGTCAAAGGAAGGAATCAGTATCATGGGGAGCTTGAAAGAGTTGGGGAATTTAGTTATGAGAAACTCTGAGGTCCAGAAGACACTGAGGGGAGGAATTAGGAGACAACAGAGGGATCTGTGGCATAGGAACATTATGGGAACATTTTAAAAGCTTCTGCCACTACTGAAAAATGATTGCTTCTTTTTTTTTTTGAGACAGATGAGGTCAGTAGGTGGGTTATTATTGTTATTGTTATTTTTTTCATGTGTATTTATGCAGGCAGGCATGTGCCACACACAGCTAATGTGTTGAAGTCAGATGACCACTTGTGGAAGTAGGTTCTAGTCCTCCACCTTGTGGATCCCTGGATAGAACGAAGGTCGTCAAGCTCTATGACAAATTTCTTTACTGATTGAGCCAACATGCTGGCCCTGGGACATTCTCTCCCTCCCTCCCTCCCTCCCTCCCTCCCTCCCTCCCTCCCTCCCTCCCTCCCTCCCTCCCTTCCCATTCATTCTCTCTTTTTCCTCTCTCCCTCCCTCCTTCCCTTCCCATTCATTCTCTCTTTTTTCCTCCCTCCCTCCCTCCTTCCCTTCCCATTCATTCTCTCTTTTTCCTTCCTTCCTTCCTTCCTTCCTTCCTTCCTTTCTTCCTTCCTTCTTATAGGGTCTCACTATGTAGCCCTAGCTGGATGGGAACTCACTATATAGAACCAGACTGGCTTTGTCTGCCTGTGTTTCCTAACAACCTGGGCTATTTGAAGAAGATTCCACAAGGATTTATGCAACAATTCCCTAGATCATCCAGGACAGATGAAGGCTAGTGTTGTTAAAACTGCCTCTGAGTGAAGGAGTCAGTTCCTTTTTCCAGGGTCTGTTAGCCATGGAGTTAAGGAGTTGCCATTGAAGGGGCTGGAGAGATGACTTAGGGTTAAGAACACTGGCTGCTCTTCCAGAGGTCCTGAGTTGAATTTCCAGCACCCACATCGTGACTCACAACCATCTGTAATAGGATCTGATGTCCTCTTCTGGCATGCAGGTAAACATGCAGAATACTCATACATAAAATATAGATAAATAAAAAAATTTTGTATATGTGTATATTTTTCTTTTTTTTTAAATTTAGGTTAGAAACAAGCTTGTTTCACATGTCAATCCCAGCTCTCTCTCCCTCCCCTGCTCCAGTTTAAAAACTTCAGTTTCTCCCCCAAGGAAATAATTGAAAGGGGTCCTCTCCCCCCAAGTGTGGAATGGCAGAATTGTGACTGAAGTTAACAGGCATGTTCAATATGTTCTGGGGAATCTGACTCTTTCAAATAATTAAAAATGGGCAAGATAATCTCAGATCCATCACAAGACAAAAAAAAAAATGAACACAAACACCCATGAAAAAGTGACTGACACTGGTGTTTGACAAAGACAGTGCAAAACAAACCCCAAGGAGACACCACCACACATTCACCAGAATAGCTAAAATGCTGAAAGCTCCCAACATTGCATTTGTCACTTGGTGTGTAGACCAACCAGGGCTTTCCTGCACGGTTGTGCAAACTTTTAATCTCTTGGAGTTAAGCACACACCTGCCCCTTGACCTAGCTGTTCTACTCCTAAATATTAAGCACATGTGCAAACAAAAAAGAAATCAAACAAATACCCGTGTGTAAGAATATTTGCAGAAGCTTTACATTGGGGGAGGGGAATAAATTTACACAATAGAGTGCTTCGACTTCTGACACACATGAAATTTTGCATGATTCTCAAAGACATACTGGAAACAGAAATCAGTAACTAAAGAGCACAAATACTGTACACTGCCTTTTCTATGATGTTCTTGAAGTAGCTAAGAACCAGCTAAACAGACAAAGCCGGGAGCAGTACAGAGCAGCCACGGAGAAAGCACCTAGAAGATGCTCAGGGGAGTCTGCGTTCCTGGAGGAACATAGAGACGCCTCAGTGAGACAGGAGAGAGCCGGTGTCTGTGAGAGGAAAGTTTTGGATTTTTTCCTCACACATTCACACACTCATCCTCCACCCGATGGCTTGGAGCGGAAGATCTGCAGGCTGAGAGTGATAATGAGTGGCCCAGAAAATATGGGCAGAAGAGTCGGAAGTGCCTGAAGTGCACCCCTTCATGGGAGGAATTGTAAGGGGAAGGAGTGAATCATCGCTCTGAAGATGACTGGCTATGGCTACCCTTGTGGTTCCAGAAGCTCTTTCTCCCCCAGTCCCTTGAGACTAGAGCAAATTCTCTTCAACTTCCTGTGCTATCTAGCATTTGCTCAGAACTTTGCTAAATGGGCAAATAAATAGAGGACTTTGGGCAGGATGGGATAGGGCTTTGTAGTTGTCTGCAAAGCAGTTTACTCCCAGTTGGTTTTCTACCCAGTTTTGGTTGGAGCCACTGAGGGTTGAAACCGGCTGGCTTTCTATTGCTAGATGACTGTTCCTTCCCTCGGGCCTGTTGTAAACCATCGCCTGCCATCTTAGAGCAGTTGGTATAGTGACAGTCCAGAGGCAGCTGAGGACCTGGAGGTGGGAGATAGGACAAACCTACATCCCCTGCTTTGCCCTTCTTATCAAGGCTCTCACCTCACTAAGACTGCCCCCTGGTGGCCGAGGCTCATACAAGTCTCCACGTCAAAATCGATACTGCTACTCACTCCCTTTCATTGTATGCCAGGGAGTTGCTGTTTTGCTTTACCAAGTCCTCCTAGCAAGTCCCTGAGGGGCATGCAACTATCACCCCACCCCATTTCACAGATGAGAAACTGAAGATCAGCGAGTGTTGAGCAATTAGATGAGTAGAAAGACAAGGTTGAAATGTGGGTATGGGTGTCTGTGGCTCCGGAGCCCAAGTTCAGGATGATGCTACTCTCTGTCTGGGAGGCACTTTTATTTTTCATTTTCAAATCAAGAGAAGAGTGAGAATGGGGGACACTTTAACTGGAGCACAGTCAATGAACAGAACTGCCATGATGGATGTTTGGGTGAGGAGTGGGAGGGGGGACTGTGAGATGCTGAGGAGCCATGGGGTGAGACGGTAAGTCCTGAGCTGGGGTCAGTGGGGCAGTAAGAGGCCTGTGGCAGAGTGGCCACAAAGTCACCACCATTGTCATGGAGGATACAGTGTCTGGCATCTGGTGCTTTCTTCACCTGGAGGGTCTCCTGGTCCTCCTAGCACTGGGTGAGGGGGGTATAGTTAGCATTGTTCCCATTCTACAAATTAAGAAACTGGGGTTTCCAAATGCTTGACCTCAAATTCTGGTATGTTATGTTCTTTCTAGGGGATGGAACTTGACTTTTTCTTCTTCACTATCTCCTTTTCTAGAGCCCCGCCGCTCTGAAGCTGCCGGCCTCTGCTTAGAATTCACTCGCCAGCTGTCTCCTGGGGCCACTGCTTTCATCTGAATGAGCTGAAATGTGGGATTGGTAGAAATAGGGTTTTCATATCCATCTATCTAGTAAATGCGAGGACAAGTGGTTAGCTGAATTAGATTTCCAATCAACGATAGATACTTTTTAGCATAAGAAGGCTCTAACACTGATTTGGATGTCGCATACCCCAAATGCATCCATTATTTACTAAAAATTTGAGCGGAACTGGGTGCCCCATGTACAACACATTTAGCCACCTTAACGCCAAAAGAGGCGCCACTGTGTTGCCTCATACAGGCCTGGAGTTATCTGACTCTTCTTTCCCTCCTCCCCAGACCCTTCCACCTAGAGAGCTCTGATAGGAACTGGGCTATTCTGGGAATTGCAAGGACCTGGTGACATGGAAGAGAGGAAAGGGCACAGATGACCTCAGAGTAGGGAGGCTGGCCCAGCCAGTAGACTGGTAGCAAGAGCAGAAGGCAGGCCACAGGCTTTGCATAGTGGAATGGCCATGGTTTCATATCCCTGAGCAGGACCCAGTGTGGGTGGGAAGTAGATCTCTCTCTCCCTGAATTTCTGCCAGCACCCTGCTCAGTTCCAACTGCTTGATGCCCAACCCCAGGGTCTTTATCTCCTCTTGCTGTACCGCCCCACTTCCAGGAGTTCGTTTGGTGATGTCTACTCTCCTGATAAGATGTGTGTAGCCCTGTGCCTGGCCCGATAGTGTAGAGACTGTAGAGTGTGGAATATGTTGCTGCTGTCAACATGGCCTCGCCACCACCATCTGTCCCCAGCTCACAGCACTCTCAGGAAGGGGACTTTCTTCTCTAAGGTCAGAGCTGTCTGGAGGGCACCACTCACCTTCCTCTTCAGGCCACACAACTGGTGCATGGGCCCTGTGGGGTTACAGGGTGGAAAAGAGCTCAGGGGATAAGCGTGGCTACATTTGGCTTTACCGAGGGGCGGTGTCCCCAGGTCCCTCCTCTGCAGGAGTGAACCATGCCTTTGTCTGGGTTTTTATGTACCTGTCTTGCTCCCTCCTTTCTGAAATAAAAACTGCCCAAGCCAGGGTACTCCACCTTGTTTCCCTGGCACCTGCCCAGGGTGCCGGCCACACCTGCAGGAAGAAGGGATAGATCTGCAGCTGCTGAGGTTGGATATAGGATGCCCAGGGGACAGACCATCTGCACCCAGTACTCTGGGGTCTATGGGTGTCTTTGCACTTCACAATTTGGCACTTTTGCTCCTGCCTGGACAGAGGGTCCCTGCTCACTCCTTCCCTTTAATGGCTTCCAAGGGTGGAAGGCTCGGAGTGCCCCAAGCACTTGATATCTTTTTCCAGGTGTACAGTAAGAGGCACCCAGCTCACCCTGCTTCCGCCTGTCTTTCAGGGCTACGCCAGCAGCCTGTTTGAAGATGCCTTCATCCCATCTCGTCTCTGACATTCAAACTGCCTTCCAACTCCACTTCAGAGACTCAACATGCTCTAAGGCAAACTTCAAACCTTCCTCCTTCCAGGAAGGCACAGCGAAGGGCTGGGGAGGTATCTTTTCTGTACTTACTGTGCACAGTGTCCAGGGGGAAGATGGGGGACCTGGGACTCAGTCGGCGCTCATGCAGGGAAGAAGCTGGTGATGAGTTTCTGCTCAAGTCCTGCATCCCAGCTGGAGAAAGCCACCCTGGCCACATCCAGAATCAGTGTGCTGCAAATCCCAGCCACTGAGCAGACTCCAGCCGCTGGGGGATGAGCTCACCAGGATGTGGCCTAATGGGTTAACTCTTTGCAAGCTGTTGGCACAGGCACTTGAATGTGGCTTTCTCAGCTCTGCTCAGCCGCTATTAGACAAATCTTGTGAAAAATTAATGAGGCTTTACTGCAGTGTGCCTTTGAGTTTCGGTGGACATGTGTACTTGGCTGGTGGTAGATGGACAGAATGACTCCTGACCCAGGTTCAGTAGGCCTTGGAGGTGCTGGCTTGGAGGAGGCTTGAGGTGCTGGTGCTAGGTTACCTGTTATACCAGGCTCAGAGCCTGCTGAAGCTGTGCCTGGGGCAGGATTGATGTGATCTGGGCCTCTCTACCTGTGTTGGATGTCGACTGAGTATGTGCAGAGTTAGGGAACAGTGTTAGTTCCAAGATGCGAGGAACGCCTCTGGGAACAGTCCAGTTCTCACATGCATGGTGGTTCCCTTTATCGCAAAACACCAGGAGCCCTGGTGTCTCTTGGTGGGGGGGAGGGCAAAGCAGCTCCTTCTTGCTTCTCGCATCAGGACCAATACTGGCCCCATTGTTCTTTTTGAGAGATGCCAGTTATAATTGTGAAGATAAGCAAGCAAATCGTGGCAAATGGCAGGAAGGCCTCCGCTGTATAACCCCATCAGCCCGTGCTTGGGGAAGCTAGTGCGAGCTGTTGGGTTGCCAGTTTTCAAGATCTGGATGGATATCCTGTGATGAACAATATTATGTAAGGTTCTGGGGGCCAGACTGACTGCTGTCCTTCTCCCCACTATCCTGAGAACATGGGAGACATTGCTAGAGGGTCAATGGGGCAGGACGGGGACCTTGCTACCAGTAGTGGTATATGGGGCGGGGTGGGGGGAGCTTCCTCTGTGGACTGTGAAATGGTTTTCCCAAGAATCATCCAGGGGCTTAAGGTCTAAAAGCCATGGGCTCTTCCATCTCAGGTGTCTTGATTTCCTTGACTTGCAAAGCTAGGAAAGGCAGCGCAAGGAGAGGGGTCTACTATGTGAGCAATGCTTGACTCCTCTGTGAAATCTGAACACTTCTGCTTAAGGAGTCAAGAAGGGAACAGCTAGTGGGCGGGGCTCAGGAGAGTTTTACTTTGAAGAATTTAGTGAATGTCACTTCCCTGATGTTGGTGCCTCTTACTTTATGCTCAGACCAGTGTATAAAATTGGGGGTATCAAGTGCCAAGGAACCCTGGGATAAATTGCTCTGCAATGCAGACAAGAACATATTTTTCTTTAAATTCAGAGTTCTATGCTTTCTTCTCCTTCTGAGGTGTGGCTGCGTGGCACAGAACTGACCATTAATAAGAGTTAATCCCTAATCAATTTCTTTTTCTATGCTAGTAATTATTCTAGATATTTTATCTATATAATAATTCACTATTTACAACAGAGCCCCATGTGGCAGACAATGAGGTATATTGCTATTCCCTGTTTGGCCTTGCACAAGTTAGTTCTCTAAGCCTTAATTTATTAATTGACCCATTTATTTATTGGATATCATCATGCCTAATTTAAATGTACATTTATTTACTTTGTGTGTGTGTGTATCAGGTGCATGTGGTGTGTGTGTGTGTGTGTGTGTGTGTCACAGAACATGTGTGTGGGGAGGCCAAAGGACAGCTTGGCAGAGTTGGGAGTAGCTTTTTTTCATCTACCACTCAGGTCAACTGCCTTGGTCGAGGGCTTGGTGGTAAGCACCTTTATCTACTGAGCCATTCTTGGTGGCTGTCACCATGGAGATATTTTTTTACAGTGAATAAATGAGAATATGCATAGTACAATTGTCTAAAGAATATGTATGTGAAATGTGTATTCATAATATATGCATGGGGAATTTAGACATAAATTAAGTTGAAATTAGGGGTCAGACCTAGACAGCAGCTATGCCATCTGTAGGCTTCTCTAGCATAACAGAGGAAATGAGAAGCCAGCTTGCTTTAGGGCAATAGGCTTTGAGTGTCCTGAGGTGATGATGAGCTGCTCTTGAGGTTTGGTGTTGATGGGGCAGTAAACACATCCCAGCAATCAGACTCTTTTTAGGACTCATTTCTAAGCCTGTAGTTCATAATTCTCTAGCTATGTTCTGCTGCCCTTTTCCTGGTCAATACAACTTTCCACGTAACCATGGGTCACGAGGGTGATCAACCCTCCATGTGTGGAGAGGGACCCGTTTCCCAAGGAGAGATTTCAGAGCTATAAGTGGGAATGCTCCGAACAAACTATGATGAATTGGTTTCTTTAGTAAAAACTGGTAACCAATGCAATGCCACTTAGAGTCTCTCTGCTTGTGCAAATGGAACTCCTCCGTCTGGAATGTTCTTTCTGCTCATCTTCATTTAGTTAACTAAGATCTGCCTCCCTCCCCTGTAACCTCCCTCCTCTGGGCCTTCACAGATGCTCTTTGACCTATCACATTTGATAACCCTGTCTTATGTCTTCCCTGCTTTTTCCAATTGTCTCTGGAGCTCCTTGGATGGCTTTTCCTCAATTAAAAAATATGAAACATTTTCAATATACGCAAGTAGGAAAAGTTGCCCAATTAACCAATGTGTGTACCCACGATGCTCAAGTAACAATGTTCACTGCTCATTCTTTTTTAGAATCTGTTTCCCTCTTGCCCATTGAAGCAAATGTCACTCATCTCTACCAAGCATTGTTGCAAGGCAGACATATTTATATCACATGGTCAAAGTTTCCCTCCCTCCATTTTCTGCTTAAAAAACCATAACCACAAGGCTGCTGGAATCATCCATGGAATTGAAATATTCCTTCATTGCATGTTTGCTCAGCACTCAGGTGTGTACGACAGGGTCTCTCTGTGTAGCTCTGGTTGTCCTGGAACTCACTCTGTAGACCAGGCTGGACTTAAACTCAGAGATCTGCCTGCTTCTGCCCCCTGAGTGCTGTGATTAAAGGTGTGCGCCACCACTGCCTGGCTGGACCATCACCTTCTTACAGGCAGTTTCTTCTGAAAAGAGTTTACACAGCGTGCAGCTGTGGCCCTTAGTACCAGGCATCCTGAGACTTTCCTACCTCCAGGAGTCTCTTTCCTTCATCCTGTCACTTATTTATGGAGGATATCAGGACTTAGGAGACTTCTCACATTATAGCTTTTTTTTTCTCCTTAAAAAATTATCTCGTGAAATTACCAAATAAAAAGGTATGTATCTATCCTGTCGATACAATGTTTTGGAATACACGTATATGGGATGGATAAACTGTCCTAACTGGCGTGTACATTATCCCATGCATTTGTCATTTCCCCTGACATTCTGGTCTTGGCTGAGTACTTCCTCTCGAGTCATTTAATGTTTTCCTCCACACTGGAAGGGCTGTGTCTCTAATTCCACTATGGTTTTGGTCTCACATTCTCCTATACTGCCCTGGTCCAGAAGAGGTTCACGGCTCCGTGGTCATCAGTGATGCTGTGGGCAGTGTCTGTATCTTGCTTGGTCCTTACAGTAGTAACCTGTAATACAGGTAGGGCTGCAGCTTCTCTGCTATAGCACGGTGACAGGTCACCAAGACCAAGACTCGAATGCAGGGATCATGTCTCTTTCCCCGTCCTTGCCCCTCAGAGAGACAGACTTAAGACACAAAGATTCCTAGACATTCAGCTCTCCGAGCTCTCTTCGGAAGAGGTCCTGTCCACAGAAGTGGTTTCCGCAGGCCTTGTTATCCCTTGCCAATACACACTAAGGGCAGGACAGACCCTGAGTGAGAGCTTTGGGTTGAGTCCTGAAAGGGTGGGGCAGCATGGCAGTGGAGAAAAACAGCACAGTGAAGAAGGCCTATGTCCACATCCTTGTTTCTCACGCTGCTCCCTTACCTGTACATTGTAGTATAACACAACGGCAGAACATCGCCATGAAACGTGCAGAGAACCAGAGAACCCCCATAAACTCTAGTGTGTGTGTGTGTGTGTGTGTGTGTGTGTGTGTGTCCTAGCTCCCACTTCTCTCTTTAAACATTTCCCTGTGTCCCATTCTATCCCTTTTCCTCTTTCTCTGATTCTGCCTGGCACACCACACACCTGGTACATAATAAGTTCCTAGAGGAACACTCCAGGGGATAAAGCCCCTTCTCAGCGCTGTGTGTGGAGCAGATGGCTCCAGACAGCATCCAGCTGGGCCCTGCCTAGGGAAAAAGGAGGGCAAAAGTGACAAAGGAAATTTTATCATGGGGAGAAATCCTGTGGGGACAGGAATATAAACCACAGGTAGAGCTTGTAAGAAAAGAGGTGGAAGGGCTGGATGAGAACTTTTTTTTTCTTTTGAGGAGGGATGCGGGTCCCAGGCGGATCTTATCTGCTAGGACCTGTCCATTTCTGCGGCTAGGGCCTGTCCCAGTCTCCGGAAAAAGCTGGGCTGGGTGGCATTTCAAGGCAGGCCCTGGAAGGCCTCCCAGGGCGGAGGTAGCCCGCTCCTGGGGTGTGGCTGCCACCTAGTGGTAAATTCCGGGAAGCGTTGCTTTCTGAAGTCTGCTTTGAATAGTCCTAGGTCAATCTGGTTTAGTAATTCACGCTGGATTTGACATTAGAAAATCCAATTTCACGGTCTGTGTCGATAGATACAACATTGCAGAAATACTTCCCACAACGTGATGATTTCAGAGAGTTAAGAATTTCTAACTTTGAACCATTTAAAGGATTTATGTATTTGCGCATTATCTCCATTGAGGGGTCTCAATTAAACTGTGGGATTTCATGGAGAATAGAACATTTTGGTAAGACTCTACAAATTTTAGAGAATGCCAGATGTCGGATCCAGACACCCGACTTAACTGAGAGGTACTTATCTGGAGGGCATAAAGATGGACTCAGGAGGAAGCTGGAGTAGTAACTGGCAGCCAGGCCTCCCCTGATCTTACAGGCTGTGCTATATTATAAGAATCTTAATAAATGTTCATGTCCATGCATGTGTACTAAACTGTTGCAAAGGTGCTTTCCCTTG